ATATTTTATAATGATTTTGACATCTGTTTCATTGATTGATGTCATATTTCCTAATAATTAAGTACTAAAATGAATATACAGCTATAATAAGTCATTATTATAGTAGCAATTAACAATTAACATTAACAATTCGATGAAGCGACAGGGGTTTCCTTAATCCTTCCCAACTCCTTGTACCGAGTGTGCAAAATTTTCTGTACGATTTCAGTACTATTCTAGTTATGTAAATGACATATTCAGCTTTTTTTTACTTGTAGGATCCCATAAGATAGATTTTCTGTATTTAAGAAAACCTTTGTATAAGACTGCATGAATAAAATGTTAACTTACATCAGATTTTGCAATATGTAGTTATATAAACTATACTAAATACAAAGCATAAATGAACCATCTTCCTCTGTGCAGGACCAGCGAAAAAGCAGAGGAGCTACGCATCATTGGCACACAGTTGATTGAAAGTCAGCATTATGCCGTGGACTCCATTCAGCCAAAGTGCGTAGAGCTAGTACGGATGAGGGACGCTTTCCACGACCGCATAACTAACAGACTGGAAACGTTACACAAGTGCCGAGACTTGCAAGAGCGTATTGAACAGGTGAGTCTAACATGGGCTAAAATTGCTGTATATGTAAATAAAAAACTTAATTCAAGAAATTAAATAATTTTGAGGTTTAATATGATTAAGTCTTTATCAGACACTTGGAATTTGTTCTGTTTATTTATATTGACACAAACAGCTTTTAGACTGCTGCTTCTCACCTGTTTAACAAGAGCAAAAGATGTTTCTAGTTATCCTTGTAAAGGAAAAAGATAGTAGATAATTACTGATTTTAATAGAAAGAAGAAATATGAGTAAGCAGCAGTGATAGAAAAAATAGAACTAGATATGGAGAGGACGAGAGCGGCTGAACATGAAACAAAATTATTTTGGGATATTACAGGCAAATAAGTGGTGCACAGAAGGTGTGGAACTCTTAGCCTCACAGCAGATAGAGCGATGTCAACCCCAGAATTTGCCGAGGAAGCTCTTAGGGAATTGGATGAATTTTTGGCTTCCTCTGAGTACAGTCGGCTGGGAACCAGTCGTGAACTTAGGACTATGTTTGAGGATGTCATCACCCCTGAAACGAAGGGCTTAGTGCAACAGGTGAGAAGATTTTATCCTATTTTGGCCTGTGCTTATCAGTATACATTTCATTTGCTTTTGCCTTTATTTTTTTCCTTTGGGAAAAATATCAATACCTGAAGCTATATAAAATCCAAAAATTAATTAATATCAAATGAGAAAATCAAATGATTATTTTTCCTATTAATCAGCCCAGCTTATTTGGCACCATTATAATGCTGATATCTCACTTGCTTTGCTTTTAGATTATTCCGCAAAGAAAATATCCTAACAGAGTGTGTAATATTCAGGTACTGAAACGTATAGAAGATGTACAAATGATGTGTGAAAAGCGAAAGAGTTCCTTAAAGAAGTTGGCCACTCGTCTGCCTCGACCCGTGCATGCTGTGACACCAGAGCCCGCAGTCCCACTCCACTACCCACAAGGGCATGCCAATGTTCACCCACACTCTCACCCAGCATCTCCCCTCCATGCGGACCTCCCTAAAAGTCCCAAAAGCATGAGGAAAGCATCAACTTTACCCAAGGTGAGTGTCTATGTTGTGCTTGGATGTGTGTCACTGCTTTTATTCATTGACCTCTTCGTATACTGTCAGTGTATGTCCCAGATGGAGAAACGAGCTGCAGTGGATCATGTTCCATCTTTGGCACACTAATTATTGTTGTATTCCCTTTCCGAATGTTGCTTCTCATGAGTGGTGGAGTCTGGTTCAAGGGAGGTAAAAATTGTTGTTGTGGCATCGCTGGTTTTGCCTGAAGCCTTTGCCAGATGCAGATAAAGAGGCAAGAATTATAAAAGATATTTGATTCTGATATAGTCACACGATTTGCTATATTGCAACATGGGCTCTCCATTGCACTGAAACAGTTTTGTAAGTGCTGGTCTTTGAAGTCCATTAAAGCAAGCATTGTTATATAAAAACCTCATTGATTCCAAAATGATGTCCTTCCCTTTCAATATCCAGGGATAGACTTTCTTACCCTTGTGATTTAAATTCTGTAAATTGTACATTCTAAAAGTTCACTAAATAGTCTTGCCCTAATAATGATTTGAATATATCTCAACTCTACAGAACTCCAATCAGTTCCATACAAGCTGCTGTGATGCTTGTTATAAATACAGGCAAAAGTATTTCATCCCCTGCTGAGACACTCTTTCGATGATTATTTATGTTTAAAGTTATTAAAGTAAAGACTTTGTTTTGTTCATGTTTCACTAAATAGATATAACATACGAATGTAAAAATAATAATCTCGTAAAAGGAAGCAAACGGCTTGTGTAGGACACCTGCATTAGGATATACTGTTTATTTTTATCTCAACCAAAGAGAAACAAACTTTGTTTAAATGATAAGAAAACCATCAGTGACAGGTTATTAGTTAATTAAGAAGACATTTAATGTTTGAAAATAAATAATACAATTGTTTATTCATTAGTGGTAAAATTTAATTACACTGTTGTTTTAATGCTGCAGACTTAATGATTAATGTATAGACTATAAGTCTTATGCAGTGATTATTATATTTCTGTGAGATAAGGTTATGTGACATACAGTTATTGGACCTACTCAAAGCCATCTCTGACATAAAGGCATTTAGTAGAGCCTGTTGTACAATATATGAAGCTGAAATATGCCCTTGTGTCCAGTATTTATAGAAGATAATTGAATTATAAACTGCGAGGTAAGTTTTAGCTAGATGGGCCCTGTCTCATGCAGAACTATTTACACATGCAAATGTGGCAAGGCTATGAAATTGATGAAATCATATATGACTTGTCCAAGATTGTTAGATATATAAAAAGAAAGATTCCAGGCAAAGTGGTAGTTGTCAGCTGCAAGTCCGTGGCTGTTGGGACAAGCCAGACTCTGACCTACTGTACAGACTTGAGATTCTAAAGACTTGCAGTCGAGATTATCAGAGCTCTTCCTCAAAATAGATGTTACGCCTGAGTGCTGGAGGCCAGGCACCAAAGCATCGCCCACGACCAGTCACTGTCTGCCTTGGACAAGATGTTACGTGCCTTAGACCAATCTCAGAAGCTCCTATAGGAACTCAGCGTGTTCGGGTCGTGAGAAGGAGGGAGAGTTACTCTCATGAACCACTGAGAGATGAATGTAGATTTCCAACTGAGCCTTCGGGAATATACCTAATGGGCCACATGTAATACATAGTCTCCAGTTGTTACAGATTAATGTGAAAAACAACAGAAGTAAGTGACTGGCAACTATTTTCTCTGTGTACCAGTTAGCCAGTGGTTGTAGACTTCTCCCAGCACTGATGCACCGCCATTGCTCTAGCAGCACTCAGCCGCAGATTAAATGTGATGAATCTCCTAAATCCTGGGTGTGAAGAAGCTGTTCCCAGGGCAGTGTAGTGACCTAGAAAACTTAGAACTTACAAGTATCAGTTTAAATGATGCTGAATCCTTGGTTTACACTGTCTTGGACATCAGTCTCTAGCCAGTCATAATTCATATTGTTGGTCAGCATAATTTTCAAGCTAGATACTCAGAAAATTGGCAGCATAAAAGCATATGGTACATACATGTCTGATTTATTAAAACTGATTCTCAGTCAAATTTACATGCCATATGGGATTTGTTAAAATGGCAGGAGGGCCTTCTTAGAAATTATTATGATAATGTGTATAAAATTGGGTCCATTAGCTGGTAGATATGATTTCATACATATTAAGTGAGCCATGATTCAGATTATCCATTTCCTGGTGAATTTTTATGGTGTTACGTATAACTACAGCACTTACAGTATGGCTTCACACATGAACAATGGGAGCAGCTGTCATATATTGAATGGTGATCCACTGGTGTTAAAATGCATGAATGTTTTTTGTAGTTTTCTTAGCCTGACATTCAATAATGTAAACTGTGTATATATAAAGGCCATTTTTATGATGTTTTCCATTCACCTTTTAAAATTTTCTCTTTTATTGCACAGTATTAGGTAAACCCCCATTTTGCACAAGGTCTACAGTATTACTATGATCATTCAGACACATTTTGCGTTTCTACATTCTTTGGTGAACAATGCTACTTTTATCTAGGTATGATTTAGAAAAACATATTATATTTATTGCTAGGCCATGTAAGAATGGTATTAGCTTTATTTTTCAGCTGACATGTCACTTTAGCACTTTTATAATGTTGCACAAAACTTTTTCCAGATCATACTTTTTGGATCTGAGATATGATCATAGTCATTCATGTAATACACTGTAATTACTAGTAAATCATCTTGTCGGTGTAACACTAATTATGTAACAAAAGACAAACTGTATGTTTTACTGATGCAATGTCCTCATTGTTTCTAACTTTCTCTTATGTTAGGATGCCAAAATATGAAGTTGCTGTTATTCATTTTACTTTGTATTGGGTTGCTTGCATCTCCTTCAATAACCAGTGTTGGTCCAGAACTTCGACAGGACATGGGGATTACATCTCTTCTTGAAACAGCATGTTCTGCCTGGCAAATGTCATAGCAGCACCTCTGGTCACATTTGTCTCTTAATTCTGCTGCCATCCAAAATTTGCCATTTCACGTTTGTACAGCTCGTTGAGAAATGAAATTGTATGCCTTACTGTTGCTGGCTGACAATATTTGATTTATTTGAGTGAAAGAATGAGAACACAAAAGGTAATCTGTAATATAATTCACTTGACTTATCTATATATAATATCCAAAGGACCCCCTGGAAAAAGGTTGTTAGGAGAAGACATAGTGAAAAATGAGAAACAAAATGTTTTTAACAGAATTTCTGTACAAATGTGTGTACCCAGCCTGATGCATAATTCCTTTTCTGACAGCTTGGTGACAGTGGAGATTCTCCTGACTGGGTTGGTGATGCCGAAGCTGCACGTGCTAAGAGGCCATGTCCTCCGTGAACTTCTAGATACAGAGAGAATCTATGTGTCAGAACTCTGCTCTATTCTCAAGGTAAAATAACCCAAGCATCTGTGTTTTCTGATCATTGCTTATGTGTTATGTGTTCTGTTCTTCTAAATAGATTATATTTGGTTGAAAAAAGTGCTAAAGTATTGTTTACAGAAAATATGCTTTCATAATTCCAACTTTAAGTTCTCTTAAAACTGGTGATGATATGTTTGATAACTTCAAAAGTTATGTACCTATCTAGGATGAACATCCCAAATGTTACATGTACAATGTTTCTGTTTTCCTTAGGGTTACAAGGATGAAATGCTAAACCAGAAATGCAGCCTCTTATCCCCATCAACCTATATGGCAAGAGTGATATTCTCTTTGGCAACATGGAGGATATCTTCCGCTTCCATAATGATGTCTTCCTGCGGGATTTGGAGAACTGCATTAATACGCCAGAGCTAATTGGTCTTTGTTTTGTCCAGAGGGTGAGTTCATTGGAAGACTGCGTGTGCATGTGCGTGTGTATACACATTAAGGGGCAAAAGGTTCAATAGATTGATAAAGGAGTATTTTCTCTTCATAGGCTTGATATCCACAACTGAAACTCCACATGAAAATTAATCTTTCGTTTAGGAAAAGGGATGGAATTTGAATTTTGAGATTGTAAAGTTTGCTTTTTAACTTTTCTCACATTAAATAAGGCTAGGCAGCCCTATAGAAGAAATAATCTTATTCGAGCCCAGTGTTTTCTGGCAATTACTTATTAAATTAAAAACTTCTGAATGAAATTATGCAATACCAGGGAAGTGTATGGATATTTGATAAACTCAAAACAGAGTACAGAGAAAAACTCATGTGAGATATGTTTCTCATTGTTGATACTGTCAGTTGTTAGAAATACTTGATGATATTTGCAGAATTCAGTAGATACTGAATGTAGAGAATTAATTGGACCCTTTTGTTGCTTTAAAGTATTATTTTGTACATTCAAATATGCAGTTTACCATTATTATATCTAATTTCATACTCCTTTACCTGCAGAAGGATACATTCCATCGGTTGTACTCACTGTACTGTCAGAATAACCCAAAGTGAAGAACTGCGTCGGCAAGTAGGTGATCAAAACCCATTTTTCAAAGAGTGTCAGCGTCGTCTCCATCACAAACTGCCACTTGGTGCCTACCTTCTGAAGCCTGTGCAACGCATTACAAAGTATCAGCTCCTGTTGAAGGTTAGGATCTGTCCATGTGCTTGCTCTGTTGTCTCCTCCAGTGAATAGGTGTCCTTTTTAATCAGGCAGTGATTACTGGTGTTTTTTATTATTGTGGTAATATTGGTTCAGTGGCATATATATTGACTTACATGCAGGTAATTGAAAGTTGAAAGTTGTACCATGAATTTCACCCTCTTTCAATCAGGACTTACTGAAATGCGTAGAAGGTAGCCAAGGTCGCCGGGAGTTGCAGGAGCGGTCGACACAATGCTCACAGTCCTCAAGTGCCTCAATGACTCCATGCATCAGGTTGCCATCACAGGATTCCCGGTAAGAACCTTGCTTGATTAATGGGTGTGACCTGCGCTTATATATTGATTTAATATGTTAGAAGTATTCCTTGAGCTTATTGATTTTCAAGGTAACAGTATTTTTTCCCATTATAGTTATGATGTTATAATTGCAAACAGATTTCAAATCTATGATGTTTGGTGATGATTAAAACTGATATGTTGATGTTTTTCAAGCCTTCTTCAAGATTTTATAACATGTCCGTTTTGATATGTTTGCAAATTAGAAATTACCCGGAAGCTTTATATGTTTTTTAAATTTTTTTCTGTGCAGGGCAATCTGGCAGACCTGGGGAAGCTGCTCATGCAAGGCCCCTTCAGTGTGTGGAATGACAGCAAAAAGGGACTTCGCGAGCTCCGTCTGAAGCCAGCACAAAGACACATTTTCCTTTACGAAAAGATGCTACTTTTCACCAAGAGAACTGGCAAGGATACAGATCGTGCCACCTACCATTTCAAAAATGCTCTGAAGGTATGGATGCTCATGGGTGATTGGATTAGTGGCTTTTACTTCTCAAATATTAGGGTTTTTATATTCATTAGCAATACAGAAACAAATTATTGTATATTTTGTTCATTATAAAGAGGTGAATAACCTTATTATAAAACTTAATCCTGTTTCTTTTTCAGATGTCACAGGTTGGTTTAACAGAAAGTGTGCGAGGCCATAAAGGTGATGTTCGAAAGTTTGAGGTCTGGCTTCAGGGACGGCAAGAGGTCCACACCATCCTGGCTCCATCGTCAGAAGTCAAGGACTTGTGGGTTAAGGAGATAAAGCGGGTGCTACTCGATCAGTTTGAGTATCTCAAGGGAGAAAATATTAAGCAGTACTCCGCTAGAATACAGAAAGGTGCCAGTCTTAATGGCATTCGAATTCCTCCTCTGTCACCCACTACTCAACACAGGTGAGACATCTCCTTTGAGATGAAGGATATCCTCATGTTATACCTTTTCTACAGGAGATTGACTGTTGATGATCGTATTGATTTATATTATTTATTTAATGTTCCACAGGGCTCTACGACAGACGGCATCATGGGACATAGCAGGCAATGGTGTGACTGGCAGTGGTGGCTCTATCAGTTCTAGCAGCTCTGAGGGCCGCCCTGGAGGTGAGCCCAGTCGGGAAATAGGCAAACGCTCTCTGCGGATAAAGTCTGTGGATGCCACTCTGGGTGATGCTCCAGAAGAGGAAGAGGAGAGCTGGTCATCAGATTATTCTGCTTCTGATGAGGAAGAGGATCAAGAAACATTCTCTGAGAGCACAGAGGTATGTGTAGGTTGCTAAGAACTTTCTTCAGTTACCTTGCTGCTAAGATTCATGGACTGCCTGGGATACATAGTTCAGGAAATGCCAAGATCTAATACCAGATACCTATTTACAGTACACCTCGTCACGGTTCCTTGTCTTGGCTGACTACAATGCCATGGGAGGATCTGAAGTCAGCCTGCGTGAGGGAGACTATGTAGACTTGATCAAAGTTGGATGCGCTGGCTGGTGGTACGTCAGGGTTTCTGGGACGCCTTACGAAGGGTTGGGCTCCAGCTGCCTACTTAGAGCGGGTCCTCAAAAAGGGCAGCAGATCCTCACCGTCAGTCAGTAGTCAAGAATCCTCCTCAGGACTGAAACATGCAACATCAAAGTTAGTTTTTGTTTCAGTCTTATTTGATGCCTTCATTTAACGTGATTTTGTCTTCACATTGTAATATTGGAAAAGAGATAGTAAATTCAGTTAAGCTGTATGAGCAGCCGTAGTTCAGAATTAGTTTGAAATAATCATTACTGATATAGAGATCTCTACTTCATGGTTTGATTTCTTGTCTTTCAGGTCATCAGTTGCTTCACTGTCAGCCAAATCTGAGGAAGTGAATATAATGTAAAGGGAATGGAATACCAATGATACTATAATGCCTTAAGGCTGTATTAGTCCAGAAACAAAACATAGAATGTTATGGTGGTCTATAATGGCTGGGAGAATCATTGTGCTATTCCTTCTGGGTAAAAACTGTATAAAAATGTTGCTTTTGTTAAATGCCATGTGAAAAGACATTGCCCTCATAGGACCTCCCGGAACTGTGCTGGTGTGACGAGTAAACCACATGAAGTGTCTTCACATCAGTATAAGAATGACATGGACAGTGTGTATGGTAACATGACTCCTAGAACAGTGTGTAACCTCTTAACATCACCTGACCTAGAATGCCTCCTGTAATGCCTGCTTAAAAAGAGAAAACTTGAATGGTTCAAGTGTAAGCATTCTTTGCAGGTAGGATATATAACAAATTCATGGACTTCCATTCATATAATATTAACCAAAGTAAATCATCCTAGAGATACATTAAGTCTAACAGTTTCTCACTCCTTGGCATATTCTCTCTTCTATTCCGAAATTCAGTGCAATATCACTGCTTTATATCATGTCCTACTATATAGTATGTACCATATGTAAACATAAATGAAAATGTATGGTCTCTTGTTTCTCAGATCTACTAATACCTCTTGGGCAACTTTCTGAATGGGAATATGAATGTTCCAGGCATCATGGATACTCTTATTACAAAGATGTAATACATTACACAAATACATCACGTAGATTGTAAAATAAAATCTAGTATCTCCCTAGTATGAGGGTAACTAGTGGGCTTTACTCTTCAAGTCAAGCATATATATGCCCTTTTGACTCTTGATTCAATCTCTGACTCTAATGGATGTACAAGTTATCATGTACTGTCTACTTATTTTTTTCTAACTTATAGAAATCTTTCCTGATATTTACTATGTACTTTTGCCTAACACCCATCTAGTACCTATCTTTCCTCCCTAAGATATGTTGCCATCTTACATTAACCTCATTATTTGATGAGATCCTCCTATTCTATCACTCTTTTACCATTACTTCTTGTGTAGATTTATATGCCATGGTAATTTTGCATTATTATGCCCATCTGTATACCTTGCCTGTCAACTTTACTCAACTTATAGCGGCTTTTTACTCCGCTCTGCCCACTTGTGATCATGTGCCTCACGTACTGGTAGAAGTAGAAATAGAGGTCTGAGTGCCAGCTCCAATGTTGCCTTGTGAGGCAAATGTGGCTTTGTCTATACAAGTACTGCAAGAACTTATAGTACTCATTGAGTCTTACTGATAAGGCAAAGCATCAGGAGTAGTTCTCATCAGTTCCTCCTGAAACAACATTAAAAATCCCTCATTTGGAGTTATGGGTGTTGGAAATCATTGAGAGAGATTGAATGTGATAGCTTAGAGTTTTCATACTCTTTGGAATTTAGCAAAGCAAGTAAAGGGAAGTTGTGTATATGTAGCCTGTAAAGCTTCCCTTTTTCTTCTCTTTTTGAGAGGAACAAAACAAAGAGGTAGGAGTAAATGCATTTATTATTGATTTGATTCAAAGGGTAACAAAATGAAAGATTTTGAATGGTACTACTGAGAACAACAAATTACTGTACATGTTCTAAATTTCCTGTTAGTTCTGGCGGACATTAGGAATAGAATGTGTGAAAGGGTCTCTTCTTCTCCCATATGTGGGACTGAGAGAATGGTGGTTTGTATGGAATACAAATGACTATCATATGGGAAACTGTAGAGGCTAGATCAGCTGGAAGTGCTGGGCTTGTATGAGAGAAAGGGGTAGTGTAGTGGGCCTTCTAATTTTTTGCATAATGGTCATTGAAAAGTGAAACTGTGTATTGCATATATCGATCATCTACAAAAAGCTGGAAGATATATGTGAATTCCAAAATATTATGGGTTCATAAGCTCAACTTTTATATACTTTGAAGAAAAAAATTCATTTTATGCTCTTCTGTAATCTAGTCATTTTTTTAACTTTGCATATTAATGATGATACGGCATCAGTACAAATTTATAGGCAGAGAGTGAACAAGAGGCCTTGACTGTATCCCATGTGATAGTATTTATGTAAAACTGTTGAACCCTGAAATCCCAGTGAGTGTTGGGCAGTACAAAATTCATACAGTGGAGGGAGACTGTGTTCATAAACATTTTTTGTGATAAAGTAGACACCAGAATCTTTTAGTGTGAACATTCTCGCTGCAGGCCATTCGAGAAGGCTGGTAATGGTAATGCAGGGTCGAAAAAAGGCTGCTTGATCCACATCACGTATGATGAGCCATTGCATGATAAGACTTTGTACACAGCCTGTAAGGTAAGTGCCAATGGTGTAAGCAACACTTTGCTTTAGAAGGCTAGCGAAGCAAGCAGTGCAGGCAGCACAAGATAATGCTGACTGTAGGTCATATAAAGCAGAAAATAATGGGCAGTGCAGGCTCACACTATCTGCAGGCCCAGCACTTACAATCTCCAAAGTGACTTACCAACTCCTTTTGTACATTCATATGTTGTAGACATCAATAATCCAGTTGAAGATGTTGTTGAATGGTGCTTTTAGCTCTGCATGTACTAGCAACCGTGTGTTTCATGTATGGTGTACATTGCAGTTAGATTGTGATCTATATAGATCTTTTCTCATCCAAAGATTAATTTTCATGTACAGTATAATTATATATAATATATGGACGTGTGTTACTTATAAATTCGTAAAATGAAGACAATTTATTGAAAAAAATACTAATATGTGTTCGCTGCCCCTTCTTCCAGAGAGCGAACGAGCCTCCATAACTCCTTACGTTCACCTTTCCAGGTGTTAAAAGAACATTCCATATATATGATATACATTTACTGCATATAACAAATGTATGTATATCCTGTACATAATGGCTAATCATCCACTATTCCTCATAGCCAAGAAATGTTTGGTTGGAATATGCGCTAGTGAGGCGATATTCTGATAGTCTTATGTGTTACCTACAAAGACCTTGGTTATATTTCATTTGTAACTAGGTGGTTATTCATCATTCATTCTAAATATTCTCATTGTTATGTATTCATCGTCATGGTTAAGTTAATTACATATCATAATCAACTGTTCATTGATTTTTTTTGTCATATGGAAAAAGCTGTTTTATTTGGAAATAGTTCATGCAAATTGTTTTGTTTTATTTTCTTGTTGAATGTATTCCCTTTTCGACTCTCTATAATCTTTCAAAACACCAAATATAATAAAAAGGTCTAGACAGCTTGGGTTTTATTAAATCACATTTTTTATATACGTAGAGGTCATAAGATGAATGGAAAAAAAGTAATGTAAATTGAGTTTATTTACGAAATGCACTTAATTTTGAACTTGACAGAATTCAACAGATAAATGTATTATGTATGTATATTCCAGAACTCTCCATAAATATACTTTTGATGATCTTGATGAATATTAAAGTACAAAATTCCAACGACTCATGATAGAAAAAATAATGCATTGGAAGAATATAAACGAATAGTCTGCAGGATGTTTTAGTTAATTCTGTAATGGTTGTGTGGTCATCGTAAATCATATTTCATGTAAGATGAAGTTATATATTATATAAAGTATTGCTTCCAGATTTACCGTGGATAACGTAAATCATCCATCCTTTATTCATTTATTTCTGATACATTTCTTTTTGTCTATTGGGAACAAATTTACTGAAATTTATTGGATATGGGTATCTTGCAGAAACACAGTTCTCCAGAGCAAGTGTGCAACTAGCGAACGTAAGTCTCCTCTTCTCTCTCTCTCTCTCTCTCTCTCTCTCTCTCTCTCTCTCTCTCTCTCTCTCTCTCTCTCTCTCTCTCTCTCTCTCTTCTCTCTCTCTCTCTCTCTCTCTCTCTCTGTGTGCGTGTGTGTGTGTGTGTGTGTGTGTGTGTGTGTGTGTGTGTGTGTGTGTGTGTGTGTGTGTGTGTGTGTGTGTGTGTGTTGTGTGTGTGTGTGTGTGTGTGTGTGCGCGCGCGTGCGCGGGCGCGTGCGTAGTTAGGTAAATAGAAGGAAAGAGAGAGTCAGATTGTACACGAGATCTATGAACAGTAGTACCATGAAGTTATTACCCTTTCCTGTGTGGTGCCGAGAGAGGCTGGAATGTTCATTTTCCTGGTTGGAGACATCATCTGCAACAGTCTTACACCCTGATTCCTGAGGATTTCCCTTGAGGTCTGGGTGTTTCCCTCTAAACAGTAGTAATTTTCCGTCGGATGCCTGCAGCAAGTTGGTCCGCGCGTCGCTTTCTATTTCCTTACCGAGCCCAGAGTCTTGGGTTGTATACACCGCTTGTTGTGGTATTTGACCGCATCTTCTCGGTCTCTTCTTTAGTATCTATATTATTATCATCATCACTGTAATTGTTATTGACTTTTTCACTCTAATGCTGATGGTAATGTGAAGTGACATTTTAGAAAAGGGGTAGATTAAAAATGCGACACAATTTCCTAGGTTTATTAGTGGGAAAATAGTATTTCGTATAAAATTTTTGATCACAGCAAAGTTTCTCATAATGGCACAGGTTTCGTAAAGCTTTTATCTGTTTCCTTTAGAATGGTGAAACGTGGATTCGGTTGCGTATTATCAAGCTGTTTAACAGAATGAGAACCTTTCTGTTTATTTATTTATTTTTTTAATACTTTCTGTACATTCAGGTAAATATGAACACGAAACACGACATTCTGCTCTAGTTAGGTTAAGTGCAAGGCTTATCGAATCGATAAAGAGGCTTTGAAGTAAAAGTCTCCCAACGAGTATTAGAATTTTTTGTTCCCCTGAAGCCCAAATCCCGGAGAATTTACCGCGGTGTGAGTCGGCCTGAAGGAGAGCCAGCCCAACACCGCCGACCTGTAGCAGGGTGCAGGTATAGATAGCCTCGCTGCCGATAACGTAGAGTAGGCGTTAGTTCCCTTCTTGCCCGTTTGGACCCGTCGGCCCGAGGGAGGTGCTGCACCCCGCCACGCCTTCGGAAAGCTTCCGTCACGACTTTCTCTCGGTTTCTTTCCTCGTTTTGTTTGTTTTTGTTTTTTTTTAAACCCTGTATTTGACTTTAAAAAAATGCCTGGTAGAATACTGGATCTATTAATCTTGCGCTACATCGGTAAGGTTTTATTTTTAATTCTGGGATTATTGGGTTGTGTTAATGGGTTCTTTGGTGGTTTTACTGGGCGGTGAGTTTCTCGTATTCCTCCTTCGTCACCTCCTCAATCAGGGCGGCGTTGGACTCCTTCGGTTTCTTGGCCTTGTTCTTGACGCTGTGGACTGAAAAGAATTTTTGGGGGTTAGCTTTGTGCCATAAATACTTAGTGCTAATAAAAACGACACAGAGTGATATCTATGTGAATTAATTTAAAGTTTAACTAAGGGAAGAATACTTTTAATGCTAAACTTGCAGTAGTAGTTCGTACAAAATATTCGTAATAAATGCAAAACAGTAATTGAGACTACTTGTTCAGATTAGTTTGTGAATTACAATTTAACCTTATGGAGTATTGAATATTGTGGAATTGTCTCATGCTCGATCACCAGGATGTTTTGCGAAATATTGTGCAATCAGAGGAAATTATCCCGATCTCAGAATAGTGGAGACGTTTAGGTACGTTATCCTCACGATATTAACAATCTAATTTAAGTATAATGCAAAAAAACAAAACAACAACAAAACGCGTAATATATAGCGATCTGATTTGTAAGCCATCCTCCACGCATAAAGACTCCGCCCTTTTTGCTTTTTGCTTGAACCCGGCGCGCAAACTCCCCGAAAGTCGCGTAACGATTTCACTCGGCGGCGCCCGAAGCCAATCAAGGCGGAGCGCGGGTTCGTGGAGAGCGAAGACTACCTCCACTTCCCACGGTAGCCAGCGGCGCGAGGGTCCCTTATCGTCAAGCAGAGCGCCTTCGGGTGTGTCTGTCTGACTGTCACGACTTGGCATCTCCCGTGACTCGCCGCGGGGGGTTGTGTGTGAAAGCCTGTTGTTGCGGTTTCTTGGGGTTGGGTATTGCACGAGAGAATGTGGCAGCGTCGCGGTAGTGTTGTGATCCTTGGTGTTCGAGGAGGTGTGGGGGAGTATTAGTTACGCACGAGAGGCAAGTGCATTTCTGCTTTTTTTTCTCTCTCTCAATGCCCTTTACTCTCTGAAATTCTTCCGAGCATTATTACGCTTACAGAAATGTAACATACTGCTACCCATTAAAAAATATATTCTGTATACGCTTACAGAAATGTAACATACTGCTACCCCATTAAAAGAGAACTAATGTATTATCAAAAAGTTAATATCGACTAAAGAGATGATCCACTGCACTTCGACGACTTAAAACCTGGATAAAGCCACAACACTGCTTAACACACGTCAAAAATAACTCCCACCGAACGCAACTTTCGCGCAATAGAGAACAGAGCGTAAGAGACTGACGCAACTTACTGGTAATCAGCTTGGTGCCGCCTCTCGGGCTTGAACTTGCCAGGGGCGGGCGTGGCGAGGCCGAACCCGACGCCCACCTTGTAGACGGGGAGGTCGTCCA